GTGGCACTTGCCTCTCATCCCAGCTACTCAGGAGGCCACGGTGAAAGGACCGCTTGACACTAGGAGTTGGAGACAAGCCTGGGCAATATAGCAAATCCCTGTCTCAAAAAAAAAAAAAAAAAGCCCCAACGACCCAAAACCACAAACACAAAAACTTTCATTTGAATATATGAAAAATGGGCCAGGCACAGTGGCTCACACCTATAATCCCAGCACTTTGGGAGGCTGAGGCAGGAGAATTGCTTGAGCTCAGGAGTTCGAGGCAAGTCTGGCCAACATGGCGATACCGTGTCTCTACAAAAAATACAAAAATTAGCAGGTGTAGTAGCATGCAACTGTAGTCCTAGCTACTCTGGAGGCTGAGGCGGAAGGATCACTTGAGTCTGGGAGTTCTAGGATGCAGTGAACCATGATCCCACTACCGCACTCCAGCCAGGTTGACCAAAAAAAAAAAAAAAAATTATATCTGATTGTTTTAATATGAATTTATTTATCTAGTTAGTGAGTCTGATATTTTGGGTAGTTGCTGGCCTACTTCTGTTTTATTCTTTCTGCTCTGATGGACTTAAACTTTTTTGATATTTGTTGCAAATTCTCTCCTATTTTTTCTGTTCAGTCACTTGGAAATCGTTTAGGCTATTTTTGAAGTCACAGTGACCCTCAGTGGCAAAGGATGGTAATGTTTCAGCGGTTCGTTTGTTGCAAGAAGAGACGCAGCCAAGTGTGAGATCTGCTTAATGTCCTAGAATGACCAGACTGGAAAACGCGACAGACCCGCTGGCATAGTCAGCTGGGAGGGACGCTAAGATCAGATAGAGCAGGAAAGAAAGTGGGGTGGATGACTGAAGAGTCATTTGTCAAGTTGAAAGCAGAATCCAGGATGATTTGATCTCCTTGAATGTCTGGCTTGGAAAACCCAGCACCAAGCTTTGAAAACATGTCACCCGGACACCAGGGGCTGAGGCTGTCCTGGGCGGGAGGTTGTGCCTGCCTCACGGAGCGAGAGAAGCAGGGAGACCAGACGTCGACCCTGGGGCATGCTTCCTGGGGGGCTCCCGTGGTTGGCGTGGAGTGGATGTGGACCCTCTGGACTGCTCGTGCCTGCCTGATCTTGCTATTCTGGAGCCAGACCCCAGGGAAAGCATTCCAGATCCCGTGCCCGCTACCACACCTTTCCCATCGGTGCTTGTCACCTATGCGAACGGATGACGGTTGTGCTCGGCTTTGCACGTTGTGGACAGCGTGGATGAGATGGAGGGTGCTCATGTGCTCTTGTTGGGTGTGGTCCACAGATATTGGGATCCTCCTTGGCATGGCCTGTGGGAACGAGCGTTTGGAGATATGGCCCTTGACGCAGAGTGAGGAGTGCACTGTCACAGGTTTTCTGCGGGACAAGCTGCAGTACAGGAACCGACTTCAGTACATGGTAACCACGTGGGCACCAGCTGTGTCCCTGTCCCTGTCCCTGTGTCCCGGGGCTCACCTGGCATAGGCCTCTGGACATTCAGAGCCCTTTCTAGGACCCATGTCAGCCCTGAGCTGACCATGGCCTGTTTCTCTGTCTTTCTCTGAAACCTACCCATGCACCTGGTCTGCATTTACTGACCCCTCTCCTGCCATCTCCTGGAGCTTCCACTGCTTTTTGATCTCACTTTAATCC